GAGGCTACCCACTCAAGGTTCCAGAGGCAGGCACTGCAACTGTCACTTACCGTATTTGCCGGCGTATAAGACGACTGGGCGTACAAGACGACCCCCTAACATTTCCACTCAAAATACAGAAGTTGTTATATACTCGCCGTATAAGACTACCCCCTCTTCCGCACACCTTCCACACACCAAATAAAAGGTAAAACAATATCAGATTTGATTTGGCCCACTGAAGTGCAAACAAGCGTATTGTATTTCGTGTCACCACATAACCGTTTTGGCGATGTTGAGCCACCATGTCTGCTACATGTTTTTCGAGTTCTGGCCAGTGTGGGGTGCCTCTTCTTAATGCACACTTACCCCTTGGCATACTCTTTAATGCTTTCTCATTTGATTTCCAGTCCCGAACCATCTTTTCTGTTACTCCATATTGTCTTGAAGCAGCACAATTATTATTTTCCTTAGCAAAGTTTATAACTTTCAGTTTAAAATTTGCATCATACTTCTTTCTTTTGGCTGGTGCCATGATAGGGATGATAGGGGTTTGACTGGTCGACATTTTCTATGCTGTACTGTACAATGGTGCAGTATTGTGGTTGGCTGTTGGCTGTATACAAAGCCTGATTTGATTGGTCCCTGCTCCCTGTTTGCCCGCCCTGTCACTATAGCAGTCTGGTCCACCCTTGCATCAGCATCTCCCTGGGACCTCACTAGTGCGCAAGTGCGAGCTCTTCAACATTCTAACAGGCACCATGATAGCGCAAAATCGCGAATCTTCAATGCATATGTAAAGAAATATACGGTAACCCGAATTTACCACACTCGCAAAATCGCACACAGCCGACCATACACCCAGTATGGTATCGCGATTCGCGATTTTGCGCTATCATACTGGGTGTATGGTCGGCTCTGTGCGATTTTGCGAGTGTGGTAAAATCGCATAACAGCAAAATCGCATAACAGCCGAGCATACACCCAGCAGGGCTGCTGATGCCTGAACGGTATGTGGAATGAAGTGGGCGGGCATCGGGAGGCCACTATGGCACGGGGCAAGCACTATGGGCAGTCTATCTGAAGTGTACCTGGCGTATAAGACGACCCCCCACTTGGAGGCATATTTTTCAGGGCCAAAAAATCGTCTTATACGCCGGCAAATACGGGTAACTCCTTGGAGACAAATGTTATAACTTCCCAGGAATCCTCATAAAGTGAAGTCACTACACATAGGGTTTTTCTTCCTTCTGTAAAGGAATGTTCATGAAAACACAACTTCAAGTTCACCTTAAATACAACTATTGAATGCAATAAATAAGTAGTTTAATGGTATAGAAAATATATAGCCTTTTCATTAAAGTATCAGTTCTTTGGTTACCCTGAGTAATTATAATTAGCTCAAGGAATCAAAGATGTTCAATAAATAAGTGACACCAAAAAATTCTAGAACAGGATAAAAAAAAATCAAAAAAATAAACAAGGAATTAAATAAAAATGTGACTGTTATTGCTTTTAAAATATGATAAACATTTTATTTTTAAAATCTGTATTATATAAAATAAATTAATTAAAATGTCCTATTTACAAGACTTTCCAGTGGAAGCTTGGCATATACTTTGCAAAATCTGCTTTTAACCTTGTTAAAATTAAAAGGTGATTTTCATTAATTCTGTTGCATGAATCAATTTATCTTTGGAAAAACAAATATTTAAAATTAATGGCTACTGAGACTTTCAACTCCAACTCCCTGCAAACTCACTAAAGGCTTCTCTGTTTTCAGATCCCCTGTGATAAACAAAGACCAGCATTTTGAATTTCAAGAAAATCACATTGGTGCTTTTTCAATGAAAGTAAATGACACAATTATATCTGGACTATTTATTAGAGTTCCATGTGAACTCATTAACTTTCATGTAATTTAACTTGTAATTCAACTAATTATTAAATGATCTATTTCTTGTCTAAAAAAATAAACGTAAATCAACATATAATTGATGATAAATTATTGATAAATAATTGATAAAAAGAAATTCATCTGGGTTATCTTATCCATACACACGTCTCCAGCCAGTGCCATATCCGTATAGGGCCACTTCCTAAATTTATCCAAATCCTGTAACAGACATTTTATTGTTGGCACTGCTATCTGAATTTCCAAACACGCCTACATAAAAAGGCACCATTAATGAGCAGCAACTTAGTTATTAGTGAAATCATAAATTATCAATTCATTCACTCAACAAATAGTGTCAGGCTAAGTGCTGGAAATATAAAGGTGAGTGAAATGATTCCTGCTCTCATAAAGCTTACAGCATGATAGGGGAACAGATATCAATCATATAATGGAGTATGACTACAAAGTGAGATGAAGGTTATGACAGAATAAAACAATCTGATCTAGATTGGCAGTGGGCATCAGAGATGTCTTCCCAGAGGAAGTGATGCTTGAGCTGAGGGGCAGGACTGGGGTGGGGTGTGGGGGCAAGCACATGAAAGATTTTAGCCTGAAGGATCAGTAAGTGAAAGGACCTGGGGTCAAGGTAAGCCACATAAGGAAACTGAAGGCAAGCCAGTATGTTTAGAGCATAGGGAGATAGAGGTACAGGAACAAGTCAATGATGAAAACTCTTAGAAAGGTTTTAAAATAAAGAGCAGGAAAAGGGCCTCTACCCATTCTAGTGGGGCTTGAATAATGTAATGCCTAAGAGTTTTTTGTAAAGGACCCCATATTTTTGTTAGTGCTATTAGTTCCATTACATTCTTTTCTAAATAAACTTTTGGTCTGGATGCCAAGAGTGACTAGCAGAAAGCAGAAGCGCCAACATTAGAACCCCACTATTCTAATCCAGTGTGTTGCCCCTACACCACACTGCCTAGAAATTTCATTTATATCATTTAACTAGTCCAATGTCTTTACCCGACATGTAGTGCTTCATAATGAGAATAATTCCAATTATGAGTACTTACTACCAAGTGCCAGGCATTATGCTAAGCTCTTTGTTTACATTAACTCATTCAATATTCAATTCTAGAAGGAAGATTCTACTATTGTCCAGATGAGGACACCGAGGCTCAGAAAAGTAATTTACTCAAAGTCACACAGCTAGTAAATGTTGGCACTGTTAACAACACTAATTAGTTTCAGCCTATAAAACACTGTATGTACGGAACAGAACTCATGTATATACAACCACATTCACATATACTTGAGGACAACCAACAATGTCTTAGTCCTCTCTGTATCCCCAGTCTAGCACTTAATGCCTGGGGTACTAGTGGGGCTCAGCAAATATTTGATGAATTGAAGATGGCTATGAGAGACAGACAAAGGATTTGAATCTGGAGGTAAAGTGACTTTCTGAGGCTTTTCCCTCAAGTCATATATTCACTAGTAATTCATTTGATGGGTATATTTTGCTTGAGTCTTCTTTCATTTTTATTAAGTTGAAGATTTATTCTCCATTATCTTTGTCATATCTTACAGGCTTTAGCCTGGAGTTAGAATGGGATAATGGAAAGCACAATGAACTGGTTCCAACCACTCTCCAGTCGCAACTGTCCTGTTCTCCATCACACCAAACGCTTTCCCTTCTAGGCGTTTACACTGTGGTTCTCTCCACGGAAGACTATTCCTTCCTTGGGTTCCTCCATTCAAACACCAGCTCCTCAAAGAGGCCATCCCTGACCATCCAATCTAAATTAGTCTCCTCAGGCTTTCTTTAATACATCATCCAGTTTCATTTCATTTCTTTCCTGGAATTTACTGCTCTTTGAAATCATTTCTTTGTCTATTCACCCCCACCTCTAATTCCAGGAGGACAAGGGTCTTCTCTAGAGGGTTCTCTGGATATATATATCCCCAGTGCCCCAAAACAAACAATCATTTAATCAACGAATGAGAAGAGAATTACCTCAGATTCACCTGTTCTCTCAAGCCCTCAAAACCCTTAAGCTTTCCTCTCCTGGTGCCTCTACATCCGATTTTCAACAATAACACCATTTTCACATTACTTTTAAGGTTCATAAAGTATCCTGGACTCCACTTTCTGAGTAAAGCCCCTCAAACGATCCTGGGAAGGGAGGTCCGGCCTGGCAAGAACGCTCATTCTCCCCATTTTACAATCTATGAAACTGAGCTTCAGAAAACAGGGTTCGCCAGGGGTCGCGCCGGAAATACGGACAGGAGCCCCGAAAGGTGTCGATTCCGAAAAGCCCTTCCCACGAACCAGTGTCGTGGATTCAAGATACTTCGTCACCTTTATTACTATTGTTCTACAGTACTCGTTCTGGACCCATTCCAAGACAAGGGAGCCGCTCGGGCCCTCACCGGACCCTGCCCGTCCCAGACCCTCATTCCAGCCGCGCCCCCGCGCGCCCCGCCCCCGGCGTCCGGGCAGCACGCCGCGCCCGGGTCCTCTCCTGCCCGAGCCAATCAACAGAACTTGGGGTGGGGGGGCGGAGTCTCAGGCCACAGCAGAGTATCAATTGGTCGGCCCAGCCGTCGCTCACAAGGTCGCGCCCCGTACCCGCCTTCCTCCTTTTCCACCACCCTCCCTTTCAGAAAAAACGGCGGTTGGGCCACGGCGGCCGCCAACGACACACAGGGCGCGGAGGGACGAGGAGCCGAGGAGGGAAGGAGGGACTGCAGGGAGGAGGAGGCTGCGAAGGAGGAGGAGGGGAGCCCAACCCAGCCAGAGCCATCTCCGTCGAGAACAAAATGGCGGCGCTGGCGGAGGGCCAACTGTGAGGCGGGGCTGCGGCCATTCCCCCTCCGCCCCCACCCTCACGCCGGCCGGGCCGGTCAGAGGGAGCCGGCTTGCTTCGCCCGGCGCGGGCAGGGAGGGGAGGGGAGCGGCCCGGCCCATTATGCAAAGCGTCCGGCGCCGCCGCCGCCGCCGCCCCGTGGCAAAGGTAAAAGGGTCGGGTTCAGCCGCCGCCACGGCGCCTCCATGTCCGCGCGCCAGGCCCGCCCCCTCCAACGCTGGCCGGAGCCCGCCCCGGCCCTTTTTCAATTTTACCTCGGGATTTGGCGCCAAAGCGGCCTCAAAGCAGGTCCCGTGTCTGCGGCGGGCGGCCCCCGGCGCGGAGGGCAGGGCGCGGGGAGGCCGGGCTCCCGGCGTTAGCGGATGGCGGGAGCCCCGGGGCCGCAGGCTCGCGAGGCAGCAGGCGAGAGACGAGACGCCGAGGTGGGAGCGGGGGCGGGCCCGGGGGCACCGCTGGGGTCGCGGGGAAGGGGGGGTTTGTTATTGTTTTTGTCAGTGAAAGGTCAGAGTTCGTGACCCCGGTGCCGCCGCCGCCGCCGCCCGCGCGCTGGTAGGAGGAGGGCGAATGTTCTTCTTCCTCTTCCCAGCGCCAGCCTCGCCACGGCCGCGGGGGGCGGGCGAGCTCGCGATTGGCTGAGCCGCGCGCGCGCGCCCGGAACGCCGCGGCCGGCGCTGCTCCATCCGGCCCCTCGCGGCCCGCGGGCCGGGCGGCAGCGGAGGCCAGTGAGATCCGCGCTGTCCGCGCGAGGGTCTCGGTCCGGGACTCGGCCGGCACAGCTGTCAGAAGAAAATGGAATTTGAATGGTGCGGCCGCCACTGTTCTCGGTGTAAAGAGTGGGTCGGTCGGTTTAAAAACCTGGGGACTCCGAGCACCGTTATTCGTAAGCAAGCCCGCTCCTCCCGGGGGAGTGCGAACTCGTCAAGGCTAGGCCGGGTTTGTGTTCTCTCAGTGACCCTCCACCCCGGCCTTCTGCCGAGCTGAAGTCTTTTTGTTTTTGTTGATTGAGAATTGCAGTTTGTTGATTGCAGTCACACAGCTGAGCGCCTGTAGGTCCGAAGTGGGTGGTTTATTGGGTAGGTGTAGAACTATTTGGGCCCTACTCGGTAAAGATGGTATTTTATTTGGGTTTTAAAGGTTCGAGGATGTGCCAACTTCTGGTAGTATCAGGTTATAAGTGTTGAAACCTTGCAAAACATTTAATGGTCTTTTAGTGAATAAATGATCCAAGTCTTAAGTCCATGCCTCTCCCCTTCGAGATTTGGAACTACTAAACAGTGATACAGAAGTGTGTATATCTGTATATGAACTCTTTGCAAAATTGTTTCAATATATATAAAGAAAATTGCTTCTCTTGAATCTTAGATTATAGGTTTTCCGTAGATATTTCTCTCAAGTTATGGTTTTGATTTGCTTTAGAAGGTGCAGATTACTAGCCTGGATGCCCTGAAGTGATTAGGACAGACTTTCCTTAATGATCATGCTTGTAGGCCAAAGATGCTCTGCTAATTGATTTTTTTTTCCTGCACTTTCCTGTTTATTTTGAATGAGTACTGACTCCAAAATGGATGGATTAATTTTTCTTAAACAGTAGCCATTTGGGCTTTTATCAGGGTGACCCAAACTTTGAGTATTTTGTCCGTTACCTTATTTCTATTTGACAAGAAATGCTTTAAACACACCGATTTCCCCTTCTTCCTTGTTCTTATCTTGCAAGGAAGTAAGTGGGGAAAGGAGTTAAATTTCATAATGTCATGGTGAAACACACATCCTGAAGCTGGAAGGGGCCTCAAGAGACGACGGTCAAATCCTCTCTGGCAGGAAGATTTTACAGGAGAGGTGGATGAGAACCAGAAAGATTGAGTGATGTGCCTAAGGTAACACAATATTTTGATGGTACATAGACTGCTTTGCAATTGTGGATTTTTTTCAAAAATTGAATTTTTAATGTTAAATATTGCTTCCAGACATAGTATAAAAATTCACACATCGATGAGCTTTGGGGTTTGTTTTTGCAAACACTACAATTGTACTAGATTTTGAAATAAATACTAAACTGATGTTTCTATGATGGCTTACAGTTTTCTTTTCTTCATTTAATACTCAGCATCTTTGTGAACAAGACACTGTCGTTTCCATTTTACTGAGGTACAGGAACTGAGGTCCAGATAAGTTAGGTGACCTGCCCAATGCTATAGGTGTAGTAAGTGAACCCAGGGCTCTGATCTAGTCTTTCTGATGTTAAGGTTTATGCTCTAAACTATGTTGCATTAGTCTGCCCTGTTTATAATAGTATTAAGTAAATTTCCAGTTAAAGATTAGTTTAATATTAAAAGTAGTAGCAAGGGGTCCGGCCAAGTGGCGCGTTGGTTAAGAGCTTTGCTTGGGACGCCAGCTCTGAGCAGCAGGGCCCTGGTTCAGATCCCACATGCGGGCCATTGATGATGCGCCCTCTACAGCTACGATGGTGAACAACAGCTCGACCTGGAGCTGGGCTGCTGTGAGTCGCTGGCAACGGCATAGGCGGCAGTGAGGCTGCAGTGGGCTGCCATAAACTACCGTAAGTGGCCAGCAGGAGCGTGAGCAGCCGTCCAGTGGCCGGCGACCAATCTGCCTCACCCTGGAAGAGCACAATGATACCAACATGGGCCAGTGAAGCAACGTCCTCCACAACTAGACTGAAGAACAAAAGGACAGTAACTTATCTGTTCCCCTCCCCCAACTCCCCAATAAAATAAAATAAAAAAAAAAAATAGGAAGGGTTCATAATCTTGACCTGCTTGAATGGCTTTTCTTTCTCTTAAAACAGATGCATATGCACACACACAGAGATTGCAGATAATATCAGCACAAGCCTATGCAGCTGAGGTCAGCACTGCTATAGTGCCATTTTCTGCTGCATTGAGTTTTTGCTACAAGTCTTTTTAGTAAGAACTCTTTAAGTGGCTTTGTAACACTTGATGGATTTTATAATCACAAAGTATATTCAAGTTGTATTATACTGGCTATACTTTCTTTTTTTTTGACTATTAAGAAGTATCCACATTTGCATTAATGGTGCTTTTAACACATTGTGGACCAGTGACGCAGATTTGCATCTATACATTTAATGCCCCATCCTCAATGTGTTTGACATTGTTTTATCTGCCTTAAAATAAATGGTTCTTGACTGGGGGATGTACTTCAGACCTGCCAGGCCCCCAGTGGTTCTGAAGCAGTAAGCTTCAGGTGGGGCCTGGCATCAGCACTTCTACTGAGCATCACAGATAATTCTGATGCACACTATATGCCTAAACCACTGATCTAATTCCAGAAATACTAACTGGAAAAAACATCAGACAACTTTTTGTTTTTCCTTCTGAAATGCAGGTTAGAAGAATTTTTCTTTTTAACCCTTTGACTTTGCCTAAAGATTATTAATTCACAAGTAGTGATGATGTATCTAGCAGTACCCAGTCCTTGTGTGTGCATTGATCATCTCGGCACCTATTCAGACTGTGAGTCCTGTATTGATATGTGCCTTGATCCTCTCTCTTTCAGCCCTTAACATAGTACCTAGTACAGAGTGGATACGAAGTGGGCATTTATTGAATGAATGCTTTTCCCAGCAGCATTAGATGGTGAACAATATTCATGTATATCATCGTCCTGATTTTGCGGATGAACTCAGTGAAAACAAAACAAGGTTTGGTGACTTCCTTGAGCTGGGATGCAAGCCTGGGGCTTGTAGCTCCTTGCACAGTGCTCTGTGGATGAAACCCAAATGCTTCCTCTGCCCTCTGTGGGTCCTCTGGGCAGGTCCCCTCCCCCCCTACACACACACACACTTAACCAATCTATTCTGCAGTCACTCATTAATTGCCTTTGAGCTTTTTGAGAGCAGGAACTGTATCATGCAGTTTCCTTTTGTACCTATCACAAAGTAAACATGTTTTATTGCCATCCATAGGTTATTTTAAATTTGCATTTAAATGATAAATGTTGAATTGAGTCAATGAAAATCAAATTATGGTTAAAAAGTAGTTACAGATGTGCTAAAATTTTCAAATTACTGTTATCAAGCATAGATTTTTTTTACTTGTAAGGGTATTGCTTTTGTGATAGCATAAAAATGGTTTTCCTTTTTATTTTCATAGACTAGAAAGGCATAATTACACTCATAAGTACTTATGTACATCTTTGTATCCATTTTTCTTTAATAACTTCTGCTTTACTATAGTACTATTTTATAAAACCTCTGTCATTTATGTAATTATTACATTTTTATAAAATATTTAAAGTTCATATATTAGCCTTATTTTTTAGGAATGTGGAACCTGAACAGATGTAATTGCAGAATACCAGATTGCACATTTCTTATACTTACACATTACCCTGTTTAATCGTCACAATTATTAACTTGTTTTTACAGTTGAAGAGGCTGATATCTTAAACAGAGGGAGGATGACTTCTCCAAAGTCACATGGTTAGCGAGTTGTGGAACATTTATTAATAGTTATTTCTGTTTATTCTCTTCTCACTTCTATGATTGTCAAAGTCAAGTGCTGTCACAGTAGAAGGCTACTTAGAAAAGTCTTGACTTGTTTATAAATGGCCCTTGTTCTTCATAGGAAGAGGAAAGAGAAAGACTGACCCTGTGGTGGATTGGTCGTACGGGAACACAGGAACATGGTAAGAGTGAGTTCCTCAGCTGTCTCCAGAATGGCTTTTACTGAGAGTCATGTCCCGTTAGTTTCTGACCTGGGGTTTCCTGGGCCTTGAAAAGGTGTAATTTCCAAATTGTACTTCGCCCATGTATCTTGGAGCATGATGGAAAATTAGATTTTCTTCTCAAAAAAATGTACCTGTACTCAGTTCCCTGTTGTAGAATATGGGTTGCTCAGAAGGATGGTTTTTAAATGTCACCCAATTAGGAACTCAATCTTAAGGCTTGGTAATTCTTTACTAGCTCAGCACCACCTCAAGAGCTAACCCACCTGGAGACTCCCAGCCTTTCACTTGAGAAGTCTAAAAGTTAAATAGTGGCATTCCTTGAGTGAGTTTTGTTTTGTTGAGTTTCTAAAGACTATTTCAATCCCACACAACCTGTTCACTACAGGTCAGGAAATATGCCTTGAATCCAAAGGTTCCTTGGGGAAAAAACCATGCCCTTCTGTGCTTTGCTTTGGAACCTACCCTTCACCTTGGGAAGAGATGGCTTCAGGCCATGGAGAGGTTCTGGGTACATTGTCAGGACTGAGGTTTAAACAATACCAAAGCCTCTTGGTTCTCCCTCCACATTTGACCTCTCCCCCATCCTTCCCTAGTTGAGGTCTTATCTCTGTTCCACGGCAGTGGTTTCCTGAGCTCCCTGACCAGTCTCATATTAGTTGCCTCCCCTTCCCTTCTTCCCTTCTGCTGCCTGAGTGTTCTGAAACAGTCATTCCTAGCCCTCTTCTATTTATAAAGTTATTTAATGGTTCTGCATACATTGCTTAGAGCTGAAGTGAAAACTCAGAGTGAGGTGTGGGGGCAGTGGGAGGCTGAGTGGCAGGTAATCTTAAGGAGGTTTGGAAACTGATATAAACACCATTAGTATATTAAATGGTGGTAGTGACACCTCGGGAGCTCACTATTCGCTTACAGGGGCAGCCCCTCATCAGCATCTGGAATGTGACCCAGAAATGATATATCTTTGAATTTCTCAAGCCAGAAACCCACATTTGTACATGTGAAATCTCTTAACTTTAAAATGTTTGCAATTTATAAATGCAGGCCAAGCAGCATCTCTTTTTTTTTTTTTTT